TTCATGTCTAAAGCCTTTTGGTTTTGAGAAGAATATTTGACACATGAAGTATATTCAGCAACTTGGCTCTCCACTTTGCCTTCTTGACTTGCTTCTGGTGCCTCACCCTAAGGGTTATGCATCAGTCAGTGTATTTCATATCCTCCTACTGGCCTTGAAAAAAGGCAGCCAGCCACAAAGCTGTCTAAATGCTGCAAAATTACCAGGTGAGCCTCACTGTTCATGACAAACTCATCAATTGCTTTACAATGGGAACAAAGGTAACAAAGAATCAGGAAGGTATTTTTAGCACTAACCAAGCCCAATATATTCCAACATGCTTCAGTACCTACACAGCCATAATTTATTGAATATGTTCAGTTTCCTGAACAGAGACTCAAAAATCAACCCCCTTGCTTTTTTTACCTTCTCATCAGGGTCTGCTGATGTTACAGTAGGACTGTAAGTTGACTAAAAAGGCATGTCCTGGGCTTCCTGGTCTCATCCCACACCTCTCCTTCCCAGCACTGACTGCAGATCCCTCCTCTCCCAAATCCTCCTGTGCACATGAGGGGTGAGCTGCATTTGCCACTAACCATTCACAAGGGACAGCTGGCACGTGATCTGGGTATCTCTAAATAAAACTTGTGAGGACACAGCAGTGAGGAGATGGGCCAACTCCATGTGAGGTGAGTTACTCCGCTCTGGTCTTTCACCCAGGGGAGACCAACACTGTAACAAACTCTGATTTTGTTCATCTCTGAAGACCGGGCAGCATCCCCATACCACCCTCATGAATTAGAGAAAGAATGGAGGAGTAGTGAAGTAGCAGGTAGAACCACAACTCTGCCTAAGAAAAGACCCTTTCCAGTGGCTTAGCCTTGCTTGCTGAGCTGATCTGCCAGGCTGCACCGTCTGCCGGAGCAGGCAACGGGACTTCTAACAATGAGATCCAGTCATGCAGTGAAGAGATTAACTCACATCAGTTACAATACCTCTCGAACAGCTCATTAAATCAGCCAGGTTGTGCCATCCAGCACACCTGATGGCCTTAATCTACTCTCTCACCCTGGCCCTGGGCTCATCAGTGGGCAGCTCTGACCATAAGTGATGGAAAAGACATTTTCCCAGGAGAGTGTCTGTTTCCTGGAACTCAGGCATCACTGATTATTTTCCTGTGTTGCCCATGCCAATCTTCTTATCCCCTAGAGGGGCTAGACAGCTTTTCAGTGACTCCAACTCAAGATATGAAATCAGCAATATTCTGATTACAGGCAAGCTCTGGAGGTAACACCTGTGGGCTTATAAAGACACCACTTTAGCACCGTATCGATCTACCATCTGCTGCTGTCTCTGCACAGGTAGGAGCCAAGTCATCCAAGAGGTCAAATTTTGTTTCCTTATTCCTGCAAAGCCTTGAAGTGTGTTACACTGGGAAGACATAAGGACTTTCAGGAATGCCAAAGCAATTGTACGTGTTTTTCAGAAATTATAACTTCTTTAAACATGAGTCTTTTCAAAGAAAATTGACCCAGCAGGTACAGAAATCTCAGCTAACAGAAAGCACATGACATCCACCACATTTTAAGGTTCCCATTTGGCTAGTGGGGTCATTTCTGTTAAGAAGCACCTTGGAGCATGAGTCACACCCTGACCTGCAAAAGACCGGTCACTTTACTCACTGGGATGAGCAGTCTTTCCAGGCAGAGCACGCCACATGTGCGTCTCCCATCTCTGTTCTTAGCACTCAGCCAAGGGTGCCCACAGGGCCCCAACCTGCAGGACAAATTAGATGAGCTTTTTTGTTTCTTTTGCTTTCCTCTGGTTTCCCTTCAGCCTCGAGGACTAGACTTGTACCACCACCTCATTTTGATGTGAGCTGCAGGCACCTGTCAGATGGCAACACTGCTCACTAATACCTGAGTGGGAATTGAGTCAGCAACTTGGGAAGTACAGGTTTAGCTTCTGTAACTGCTCCTTTAAACCACCCAGTCCCTAGAACCTAGTGAGCTATTTCACCTTTAAAAATAACCATGTTCTGGGAAAGAACAACACACACAGACTCCCCTCCAGCAAGGCAAACTTGTCTGATGCCAGCGCTTCAACCATTCCAAACACTGTGCTTCAAACAGCAAAAGTCACTTACCAGCATACTCCGAGAGGAGCCCAACAAAGAATGGAGTCACCAGGTCACTGACTCCCAGCCACCGGCTGGGTGTCGAATGGCCCAGATAAACAGGATCCTCTCAAAGGTCTAGGGAAGAATGAGGGAAAGCAGGTACCTGCATTAGCCCTGCTCAAAGGAAAGGCAGGAAAGCGTAACTGCTAAGCTCAGGGAGCAGAGATCATGCCCTGACACGCTCTTCCGCAGCAATACGGGTGAGAAGCAGCATGCGAGTCCTCGGAGAGACTCTGGTATGATCCACAGATCCCCCACACAGGCCAGCCCACATTTCACCAAACAAAGCAGCCCAGGCTCCTCAAAGCCTCTGTTTGAAGAAGTGCAGACCAGGCTTTGCAAGATCCAGGTGGCTTAAAACCCTTCCACCCCTAGGGCAGGGCTGCCCTTTAGCAGAGCAGCACACCCTGCTGAGCCTCAGGTGGAAAGCCAAGGCTGTTACCAGCACAGTTCTCCCAGCAAAACATCACGGGCCAGCATGGTTCCCAGTAGAGCAGCCTCCCCCCAACAACCAGCGTGTTATTTCCAGACTGCCCCAGCCCCAGGACACTGTGCTCTGACATAGACACACAGGCTGAGCTTCTTTCTGAAGAGGACAGATGCTCCTCACACCTCCTGGCCACCTCACAAACCCCTCCCTGCCCGCGTTTCTCACATCCTGCTTCACACAAAAGGTTTCTTAGACACACAACTCCTCTCCTCTGGTTCAAACACCTTGAATTTGTCTCAAAAGAAGAGCTTCAGGTCTTTTACCAGTTTTTGGCTACATCTCGCCACAAAAGAGCTGATCTCATCACTCCTGAGCTCCAGGTCTGATTTCAGAAACATGGGACAAAGTTTCAGCAGGTCTTCGCATCAGGAGCTGTCAGCCAGGGAAGCTTCCCTGCAAAACCAACTCACTCGAGACAGTGCTGGTCTAACCCCACGCACACCCCATGGCAAACGTGGGGCAGGAGCTTCGCTCCCCCTCTTACCTCCTGGATGAGCAGCTGCTGGAAGAGGGGGATGAGTGCGCTGCTCCTTGGAATGTCAATGTGGGTCTGGAAGAGAGCGTGCGTTACACACACCAGCTGTGCTTTCCAGGGGCACAGTAACTCCTCCTGGGCTAACAGAGGGGAATCCACCCCTCAGTGACCCCCAGGCAGGGGCTGCACTTGCTGACAAGCGCAGTGAGGGCTGCAGATGACGGCTGCACTGAGTAAATCAGAAAAACAGCTTAATCTGCAGTCTGCTCTGCTCAGGCGTGGGCAGGTACCCTGAGCTAGGAAAGAGCTGGGGTCTGCATTCTAGTTATGAGGTCGATTTAGGGAAGGCTTCGGGAGCCCTGTCCCCTGTGTGCCCGCCTGCAGCTCCACCCAGCAGCAGGGCTCTTCTCAACCCCGGGCTCTGCCCAGGGACACGAGAAATCACAGCGCTGCCAACTCACAGCAAAGGCTCCAGGCTCTCGCCTCTGAAGCAAAACCCTTCCAATCTACACTTACGCATTTGATACAAAATCCACCAGCAATCCAAACAGCTCCGTCCACCACAAAAACAACCCCTGGCTGCAATCGGTGCGGGAGCAGCTGGGCACGTGTTCTCAAGAGCAGAAACCCAGGGCCTGGAGCATCGCTTCACCGTGGGTACATCCCCGACACACACGATCCCAGAGATCCTGGCACCACTGCCCGGGCTTCCTCCGGCACCAAAAACAATTCCGACCCTTCTACACATTTCCTCCCGATTTACACCAGCAGCAGCCGGGGCATTAATTCTTGTTTCTCGAGCCGTTACACTCTTCCCTCGATTAACAGCCATCCCAGGCCAGACTCCAAACCACATCTGCGGGAACCTCGGCAGATGGGGGCTGGAGGGGAGCGCCCGGTACCGCCGGGAGTCTGACAGCGGCGTTCCCTAGAGACAGCTCACCTCCAGCCTTCCAAACCCCTCGAACACCCACAGTCCCGGTGACACCGAGAAGCAGCGGGAAAACGGATCCTTTGCTCAACCTCACTGTTGCCCACAGTGCAATTTCCACGCGGCCTTGGCGCCCAGAACCCCCCATTTTATTCTCAGTTTTTAACTCTCCTGGGCGCTCTCGATCCGTCCCTGGCGCAGTTTCTCTCTCTCCCACCAACACGCGCAGACCCTCCGCAGATCCCTCCCCCCGCGTGTTCCCGGCCGCCCGTCCCGGGTCCCCGCACGGAGCCCCCGGGAATCCCCCGCCCGGAGGAACCGGCGTCCCTTGCACCGAGCGGCCGCCCCCGGCCCCGCCGACCCCTCCGGCAGCGCCGCCCCGACGGCCCCG